GCGGAAGGATCGCTGGAGCCCAGCAGGTCGAGGCTGTGGTGGCCGGGAGTGGCCACTGTAGTACAGTACTCCAGTCTGGGCAACAGAGTGAGACTCCAACTCAAAAAAAAAAGTGACAAGGGTCTCCCCTTGCCCTCAGGTGATGGGGGTGTACCCTCACCCAAAGATGATGGGGTGCCCAAATATAACAGGGGTGTCCCCTCACCCCAGGGCTGCATCACAGCCTCCTCGTGGTTGACGTCTAGGCTCCCCACATGCTCCTGTTCCCAGACCCCAGAGCAAGGGACAAGTGACCAGGCTGTATAGACCAATCAAGTCAGCCTCTCCCAACCTCAGCCTCCCATGAGCCAGGGCTGGGGCTGAGAGCCCTGCACCTTGGGGGGGTCCAGCCAAAACCAGGGGAGCCAGGCTGGGCACAGCCTGGGGATGGCGCAACCACCGTTCACAGAGGGCCATGGAAGAACACAGGTGCCTCTGCCCCACCACCTGGATGGGGGTGCCGGGAGAGAGCAGGAGCCTTCCGGAACCACGGTGGTCACCCACAAGGCTGTAGCGGTGCCCAGTGGACACAGTCCCGCCCCAGCACGTACCCCAGGCTCCTTCCTGGCCACTCCCAGGTGGACCAAGTTGGGGTGTGGCCTCCCCACCACGGACAACCCTGCTTGGCGCCTGCCCAGGGAATCCAGGAGCCAGAGCATCTCATAGGCGGCTGAAGTCGCCCAGGCACTCACTTGGCCGGCAGTCATCCACGTCAGTCTCACAGTTGCGCCCGGTGTAGCCTGCCTGGCAGAGGCAGCGATAGCCACCATTGCTGTTTTGGCAGGATGCGCCGTGGCGGCATGGGCTCTTTACGCACTCATTGATATCAATCTCGCAGGTCTGCCCTGCACGGGGAAGGAGAGGCTGGTCAGTCCCTCACAGCCTCCACCCTCCAGGCCTCTCCCCTACCCCGTGCAGTGGGCTGCCTTGGCCCCAGGACCATCCTCTGTGTCCTAACTCTAGACTCAGAAAGGTAGAGGAACTTTGGGTGGGCAGGGTGTGCCAGAGTCAAGTCCTGAATCCAGAGTTTCTCAGCACGCCCTGGCTCACCACCAAAGATGGGGAACTCACTTCCCACCACCCTGAGCCAGCCCAGGTCCCCCCGGGCTTCCCACCCTCCCTGCCCTGACCTCTCCTGGGCCAGGCCAGCCTCACCCTGCCAGCCAGTGGGGCAGACACAGGAAAAGCTCTCGTAGTCCTCCGACTCCCTGCACTCCCCACCGTTTCTGCAGGGGCTGGGGGCACACGGGGCCAGCACCGCCTCACATGTGGCTCCTGTGGGGAGAGAGACATGGTGGCACCCGGGAAGCCCGTCCCTGAGGCATGTCCCCGTGAAGGCCATCCCACAAGCAGGGCGCCTCCAGGGGGTTCCACAGGGAGGCAGGTATGCACCCTGTGTGAGCTCCCAGCCATAGTAGGACCCCAACCTGGGGGGAAACGTGAGCAGAGAGTGGACAGGGGACACTGAGGACAAGCCAGATGAATGCCCCACTCAAAAACCAGCCCTGTTGAGTGCGGTGGCTCACACCTGTCATCCCAACACTTTGGGAGGCTGAAGTGAGAGGATCGCTGAAGCCCAGGATCTCAAGACCAGCCTAGACAACACAGTGTAACCTCATCTCGACAAAAACTTTAAAAATTAGCCGGGTGTGAAGGCACGTGCCTGTAGCCCCAGCTACTCAGTAGGCTGAGGTGGGAGGATAGTTTAAGCCCAAAAGGCCAAGACTATGGGGAGCCATGATTGTGATACTGCTCTCCAGCCTGGGTGACAGAGTGAGACCTTGACTCACAAAAAACCCCTAAAAAAACAGCTCCCTGTTCCCTTGGCTGTGGGCCACAGCCAGACCTCACCCCTTCAGAAAAACCCAGAAGCAAGGACTATATCAGGACAGGCAGCCCGACAGGTGCCGTGACATCACGGGGCCTGGAGCCTGTTCCCCACCCCAGCACCTTCCTCATCTCTGGGTGATGAGGAAAAGCCCCTGGACTGAGCCTGGCGCCTGGTGCTAACCCTGGGGGGCTCTGGATCACAGGTGGGCACTGAACAGAGGGGACAGACCCAGGCACCCTCCACGCTGACCGGGGGACCCTGGGCCACCACCGTGTGGGAACATGTGCACACCAGGCGGCTCTTCCCCACGCAGCCCTGACGGCCAGGCTTCCTGTTTATGGCCGTGGGCCTGGCCTCCCGAGGAAGTGAGGAAGCGTTATCTTCCGTGTCTCCTGTTATCTGCCCGGCCTGCCGGCGCGACCTGCCAGGGCCTTTCTTCCTGCCAGTTTCCACGGTGACACGGGCAGGCAGGAACCTGGCCAGAGTTTCCGACAATTGTGCAAAGGGGAAGCAGGAAGCGGGTCAGCACTGGCTGGCTCCTCCCGCCAGACCCAGTATCTACGTGTCCGAAGGGGGCTCGGGTGCGCCCGGCCACCGGGGAGTTTCCTCATGAACCGACATGAGAGAGAAAATCCAGGCCCCCGACTTGGGTCAAAGAAAACAGCATTCTGGCCTCAAGTCGCTGGACGTCATGGGAACTACCAGTGCAGGACCCCTGCCCCAGCCCGGGCAAGCCCACTCAGAGCACCCAGGGTCCATCGGCAGCACGGGGTGCCCTCTGCTCACTCCCAGGGGCCCTGGGACCCTGGGGGTTGTGGGCTTTTGTCTTTCCTATGGCGGGGCCCATTTCCCGCGGTCCTCCCTGGCTGGGCCAGCAGCAGGGCTGGACAGTCAGAGAAGTGTCCCCGCCTCCACTCAGCCTGAACAGAGGGCTCCTTGTTCCTCTCACACAAAGAGGGCCCGCGTCAAAGGAATCCCTCGGCCCGGCCGGTGGGGTGGGGGTGGGAGGCGGCCCCCAGCAGAGAGGATACCAGAGCCTAGAGGGCCGATGGCCCAAGCCCACTCGTGGCTCTGCCCCTCCGAGTGTTCCAACCCCTTGGTTCCCGGGATAGACTCAAACTAATAAACTGTCTTCCAAGCATTCTGTGTCTTGGTTGGCTAAGCTGGCAACCCGACCCCAGGGGCGAGGCCCAGATGCTTCAGGGTCCTAAGGCTCTCAGTAAACCATAGCTTCCAGAATGTCTGTTGGGCAACAGACAGGCTCAGCCCCAAGAAATCCACCACTGTACCCTGCGGTCACCATGCCCAGGCCCCGCCCCATCCACATAGGCCCCACCCCCATTCATATAGGCTCTACTCACCCACACAGGCCCCGCCCCCTGTGTGGAGGCCCCACCCCTCACCTGTGTAGGGCAGCAGGCAGTTGCACTTGTACCCAGCCACATCATCAATGCACGTGCCCTGGTTCAGACATGGGTTGGATGCACATTCGTTGATGTTGGTTTGGCAGTTGGGGCCTGGATGGAGAGGACAGTGTCTAGCACCCCAGGTGCCTGGCAGGGCCCCACAGCAGGAGCCCCGGGCTACTCCCCACCAGCCCTCTCCTTGTGTCCTAAAGGATGCTTCATCACAGTGTGTGTTGGGGGAAACGCTGTGAACTGCACCGGCTGGACTCTCGTACCCACCCCGGGCCCTGGGCTCTCCAACTCAAGGGGCCAGCCCTGTGCCACTCCCGCACCGAGGACACCCCGGCCCACTCACCACTGAAGCCCTCCCGGCATGTGCACACGTAGCCGCTGGTCATGTCCTTACAGGTGCCGCCGTTGACGCATGGGTTCGACTCACATTCGTTGTTGTTGATGTCACAGTTTGTCCCACTCCACCCGGGGTCACAGTCGCACTTGTACCTGGAAACAGGACCACGCCGCAGGTCAAAGGTGGCCCGAGTGGCGTGGGCCTGGGGTGTGGGCACTCCAGCTCCACACCATCCCACGGTCCGACAGAGGAGCCTGTCCACACAAAACCACAGGGTCTTTTATTTATTTATTTTTCTTTTGAGTCAGGGTCTCACTTTGTCATCCAGGCTGGGGTACAGTGGCACAATCACGGCTCACCACAGACTCCACCTCCTGGGCTCAGGTGACCCTCCAGCCTCAGCCTCCCAAGTAGCTGGGATTACAGGTGTGCAGCACCACCACGCCTGGCTAATTTCTTGATTTATTGCAGAGACACAGTCTCACCATGTTGCTCTGGCTGGTCTCGAAGGGATCCTCCTGCCTCAGCCTCCCAAAGTCACCATGCCTGGACTCCCCAGGATTTTTTAAAGTGGAAGCAATAGTGCCCGCCTTGCCCAAGACTGTGGCCAGGGATCAATTACATTGGATTTGGGCCTGCACCCAGCGCAGGGCGGTGAAGGGCTAGGAATGTGCGACTGGGGCCAGAGGCCCTCCACCACTTGCTGTGTGGCTGTCAACAAAGCACTCAGCCCTTCTGTGCAAAATGAGGCAAGGGGGTCCCTGCTGATTTAAATGGCCCCCATTCAGGTAGAGCAGTGCTGGGCACATCAGGGATGCCAAAACCACTTCTGGCTGGGCACGGTGGCTCATGCCTGTCATCTTAGCACTCTGGGAGGCCGAGACAGGAGGATCGCTTGAGCCCAGGAGTTCAAGACCAGCCTAGGCAGCAGAGTGAGACCTGGTCTCTACAAAAAAAATTTAAAAAGTAGCCAGGCATAGTGGTAGCATGCTTGTAGTCCCAGCTGCTCAGGAGGCTGAGGTGGGAGTATCAACTGAGCCCGGGAGTTTGAGGCTGCAGTGAGCTGTGATTGTGCCACTGTACCCCAGCCTGGATGACAAAGTGAGACCCTGACTCAAACAAAAAACATCCACTCCTGCTGCTGCTACACAAATGTGGGTTTCAACAACCACGTCACACACTGGCCCACCAGCACGCACAGTCCAGGGCTGCTGGACGTACACCAGGCGCCGATCGAGGGTCCGGATGGCACTCGTGTCCTCAACGGGGCACCCAGTGTCCACTTGAGCCCATTCCTGGCCCTCCCGAGCTGTGTGCAGATATATCCCTGGCCTGCCCTCTGCCAGCTGCTGCCAGTGGCTCAGGACCATGGGCACTGCATCCAAGACTACCCTGCCATACCCATTGAGGCTGTCACGGCAGGCCCCGTGGATGCAGGGGTTGCTATTGCACTCGTTGACCTCGGACAGGCACGTGGGGTCGTGGTAGCCCTCGGGGCAGCGGCAGGTGAAGCCATTGATGCCATCCTCACAGGTGCCCCCATTGTGGCAGGGGTTGTCAGCACACTCGTCGATGTTGATGTTACACATGCTCCCTGCAAGGCAGACACATCAGACGCTACCCCCTGACACCCGCCACCAGGGACCGACCCCACAGGTGGCTGGTGCTCTTGGGAAGGCAGATTCGAATCCTCACCAGACTTTTCCCCCATCTTTGTTTTCTTGAGTCAGGGTCTTACACTATTGCCCAGGCTGGAGTGCAGTGGTACGATGACGGCTCATTGCAACCTCAACCTCCTGGGCTCAGGTGATTCTCCTGTCTCAGCCTCCTGAGTAGCTGGGACTACAGGCACGTTACTCCACCAGGCTAATTTTTTTATTTTTATGTAGAGATGAGGTTTCACTCTGTTGCCTAGGCTGGTCTCAAACTCCCGGCCTTAAGTGATCTGCCAGCCTCAGCCTCCCAGATTGCTGGGATTACAGGCATGAGCCACTGCATGGCCTCCCCATGTTTTAAACCAGGATGATAACTCTTCTGGCTAGATCCTCCCAAGATGGCATAAGCCGCGTAGGTGCCAACAGTCCCCCTGATTGGCACCAGCCAGCCTTCCCTAGCACCAATACCCATTCTCTCAGATCACCCTCCTGGGGGCCTTGATGCTAGGAGTTGCCCAGAAAGGCCGACAGCCTTGCTCCAGGGCAGAAGTGAGCCACAGAGGTACCCTTAAGCCTGGCCTCTGGGCGCCAGCCACTCCCTCTCGCCTGCCAGACCCATCTTGGCACTGGCTGGACCCAGCCTTGCTGCAGTCTCTGGACAGCTGGCCTGTGTCTTGTCTCCCTGACCCTTAGGCCCCGTCCTAGACCCCCGGAGCCCTGGGGAGACCACTGACCCTGACCTCAGAGCACAGCCCCCAGCCCACTCACCTGTGTAGCCCGGCTCACAGGCACACTCGTAGCCGTCAACCTTGTCCAAGCAGGTGCCCGAGTCGCAGGGGTTGCTGACACAGTCATCCAGGTTGATCTCGCAGTTGGGTCCTGGGGAAGGACAGGGGGCAGGCAGTGGTCAGTACCCAGGCCCGCCCTGCCCACCTGAACACCCTCAGCCCAGCCAGTCACCTGTGGTGCCCTTAAGGCAGAAGCAGAGGTAGGCGTTGTCACGGTCCTGGCAAGAGCCCCCATGGCGGCAAGGCTGGCTGTGACACTCATTGATGTTGGTCTCACAGTGGTGGCCCGTGTAGCCCGGGCGGCAGAGGCAGGTGAAGGTGGCGACACCATCCTGGCAGGAGCCGTAGTGACAGGGGTCAGGGTCGCATTCGTCGATGTCAACCTCGCAGTGGGTCCCCGTATAGCCTGGAGCAAGGAAGGTGTGGGCACAGGAGGACTCAGGGACAGCTGCTCCCTGGATTCCCGCCGCCCCCACCTTGGGACACTGAGGACCAGACCCAGGTCACTTGAGCCCATCTCGGGGAAGGGCTCTGGGTGTCCAGTATCTGGGTAGGAGCTGAATTGAGCTCTCGGCCCCAGGACTAAACCGCTCAGTCCCTGATCTTGTCACCTTTGGCCCCGCTCCCTGGGTCCACCCCCCGTGGGTGCCAGCCCGCACCTTCTGTGCACACGCAGGTGTAGGTGTTGGGTCCATCCAGACACTTGGCGCCGTTCCTGCAGGGGGTGCTGGCACACTCATCCACATCGTACTGGCACAGGTGTCCAGTGAAGCCTGGAACCAGAGAGGGGCAGCGGTCACATGCAAAGGCGCCACAGCCCCTTGGGAGGCCCCGGCCAGACTTGAGCGGCAGGCGCCCGGCTGGGCTCCCCGGGGTGCACTCCAGCCCAGGCTTGGTGACGCCAGGTTCGTCCTGCCCCGCTCCCCGGATCAAAGCCCTCCCTGGGCTCTGCTGGGTGGCCGCGCCCCGCCCCCCCGCTCCCATGGAGGGGCCTTTTTCCCAAACCGCCATAGTTGCCATGGCTACAGCCGCGCCAGGCTGTGAATGGGGCCCCCTCGCCCCAGCGTCTGGGACGGCTGATTTACATCTCAGGAGGTCCCAGGCCTGACTGGCAATGCCTCCCAGACTCCACGCCCCCAGCCCCCAGCCCAGGGACTGACAGAGACACTTTTTCACCCACGTCTCCCACGGGTTACCTTGAATCTCTGCAACCGTCAAATCCACTGCAGGCCAACCCTCCCCACCTGGTCCTTCACTGTCCATAGCCTCGTGGCTGGCATGCCATCAGGCAGGCACAAGGGGGGATAGAGCAGGCTGGCCTCCCTCCCAGTTTCGAGCCCTCAGCGAACTGGACTGGAGCTCCTTTCCCCTCAGGGACTGGAGAACACACTCCCTTCTCCAGAGGCGGGGAGGGCTGCACCGTGTTATCAGGAGGCTCCAATGGCCCTGGGCACGCCCATGAGTGGAACCCAACACCTGCTGCCCAGCCTGGTCTTGTCCTTCAGGGATGTCCAACACATTCCCCACCCACTCACCAGGCAATACCTTCACTCCCCTGGGAGCCTAGACCTCTCTGGCCTGGCAGCTCCCAGAGAGTGGGCCCTTTCCTGCGGACCATTGTGGGACAGGGACCAGTGTGTTTCCCGGGCCCCTGAAGGACCTAGCCTGGGCTAGGGTGTGGACGGCCCACAGGGGAGTCGGGGCTCCCGGCCCGCCTCACCCGTGGGACACTCGCACTGGAACTCGTTGATCTTGTCCAAGCAGCGGCCATTGTGCAGGCAGGGGCTGCTGGCACACTCGTCCGTGTTGACCTCGCAGTGCACGCCCTCGTAGCCTGTGGGACAGGGCGGGCAGTGAGAGGCCGAGAACGGCCTTGGTGCCCTGCTGGGCATAGATGGAGACATAAGCAGAGCGAGGTGGGAGGATTGCCTGAGGCCGGGAGCTTGAGGCTGCAGGAAGTGCAAAGCTAGAACCCGCACTCCAGTCGAGGCCACAGAGCCAGAGCCCACACTCCAGCTGGGGCCACAGAGCCAGACCCTGCACTCCAGCAGGGACAACAGGGCCAGACCCCACACTCTAGCCAGGGCCACAGAGTCAGACCCCACACTCCAGCCCAGGTGGCAGAGCCAGACCCCGCACTCCAGCCAGGGTCATAGAGCTAGACTCCACATTCTTGCCCAGGCAACAGAGCCAGACCCCACACTCCAGCTTGGGTGATGGAGCAGATCCTGCCTCCAGCCTGGATGGCACACTCCAGCCCACGTGACACAGCCAGACCCCGCACTCCAGCCCAGGCCCCAGAGCCAGAACCATACTCTAGCCGAGGTCACAGAGTCAGACCCTACACTCCAGCCCAGATGACAGAGCCAGACCCCGCACTTCAGCCAAGGCCACAGAGCCAGACCCTGCACTCCAGCCTGGGGGATGGAATCAGACCCTGCCTCCAGCCTGGATGGCAAAGCCAGACACCACACTCCAGCCCACGTGACACAGCCAGACTCCGCACTCCAGCCAGGGTCACAGAGTCAGTTACCAAGCCAGTCAGGGCCATAGAGTCAGACCCCACACTCCAGTCAGGGCCACAGAATCAGACCCCACACTCCAGACTGGGTGACACAGTCAAACCCTACACTCCAGCCAGGGCCACAGAACCAGATCCTGCATTCCAGCCAGGGCTACAGAGCCAGACCCTGCACTCCAGCCTGGGCAACACAGTCAGGCCCAAAACTCCAGCCAGGGCCACAGACCCCATGCTCCGATCCAGTATTCCAGCCCACCGTGGACCCCTTCATACCTGTCCCTCTGCAGCCTCCTGGGCTGCTCTGTCTACCTTGCTCTGGCCCAGTGCTCTGCTGTGCCCTGTGAGCCTGGCCTCAGTTTCTCCAGGTGCCCTGTGGAGGCTGGGTGCTCCCAGAGCCTATCCCTTTGGGGCCCCTACCAGCCTTGACTCGGTCTCCCTACCCCACTCTCTGGCGTTGCCCACCCAAGGGTAGGGGCCGCTGGACGCACCAGGCATGCAGATGCACTGGAACTCCCCGATCTGGTCCAGGCAGGTGGCGTCATTCTGGCATGGGTTCGAGATGCACTCGTTGACGTCGATCTCACAGCGGGGGCCCGTGTAACCTTGCAGACACTGGCACTCAAAGGAGCCCAGCGTGTTGATGCACTTGCCAGCATGCTCACAGGGGTTGGCGCCTGGCGGGGGTGGTCATGGGTAAGGGGATGCTCTGGGCACCCTGCCCCCCAACCAAGCTGGCGGTCCCCTAGGGCAGGACCCCACTTCCACCGATCGAGCACCCCCAGAGCCAGAGTTCACTTCCAGTGGTCTCGGGACCCTGTGCCAACACCCACCCAATGAGCACTCGTCCACGTCCTGGCTGCAGGCTGGGCCTGTGTACCCCGAGGGGCAGGTACAGATGGCCTTCCCGTTGACAGGGTTGGTGTCGCAGTTGGAGCCCTCGTTGCAGGGGTTGCTGATGCAAGCATCGTTGAGGTGGCAAAGGAGACCTAGGCAGAGCAGCTGCGTCAGCAGGTACCGCACCCCAGGCCTAGGAACAGGGGCCACCCACGGTGGGGGCAGCCACCCCTACTCCACACCCCAGGAGGTCTCCCACCACAACCCCATCCAGCACCTGTGCCACTCAGGATACCCTGGGAGATTCATCACTGGCCTCCCCGCCCCTCCCCAGTCTAGAAAGGCCCTCCTGGAGAGCCAGGCTTGGCAGCTCAAATCTGCAAACCCAGCACTTTTGGAGGCTGAGGCAGAAGGATCACTTGAGCTTTGGAGTTCGAAGCCAGCTCGGACAACATAGCAAGACCTTGGTGCTATAAAAAAATTAAAAAGTTAGCTGGGCGTGGTGGCATGCACCTATAGTTCCAGCTGTTCAGGAGGCTGAGATGGGAGGCTCACCTGAGCTCAGGAGTTTGAGATTAGCCTGGGCAACACAGGAAGACCTAGTCTCTACACACACACAAAAGAAAAAATTATCTGGATGTGGTGGTGCATGTCTATAGTCCCAGCTACTCAGGAAGCTGAGGTGGGAGGATTGCCTAAGCCTAGGAGGTCGAGGCTGCGGTAAGCCATGATTATACCACTGCACTCCCGCCTGGGTGACAGAGTAAGACTCCGACTCAAAAAACAAATAAAAATAAAAATAAAAAAAAACAGAAAAGTCCCCTCGGGTCATCCTTGAAGGTGATAAAGAACCACTGTCTGAGCGAGGTCACATATGTCAGCCTGGTCCGCGAGGCCAGTGCCACCGCCTTGTTCATGGTCCTCGGCAGGGGACGCTCACCTGTGCGGCCGTGGGGACACTCGCAGTAGAAGGAGGCCACGCGGTCGTGGCAGGTGGCGCCATGAAAGCAGGCGGCACTGGCGCAGTCATCGATGTTCTCACTGCAGTCCTCGCCAGTCCAGCCATTTACGCACACACAGTTGTAGCCGCCGTGGGTGTTGTGGCAGGTCCCGCCATTCTGGCAGGCATTGGGCATGAGCTGGCACTCGTCCACGTCCTCCGTGCAGTACTGACCTGCACAGGACACAGGCTGTCAGTCCTGGGCGGTAGCCACTCACTGAGCTCCTCACCCTTAGGATGCGGGGAAGCAAGGCCATCTCCTCCAGGAAGCCTTCCTGGGCTGACTCCTCCAGACTCACTGCTGGCCTGCCTCACTCCTTCCTCTACACGCCCAGCACTGATGGTGGGGCGAACTCTTGTCTTGCCTGGCTGCTCTGTGGACATGGCTCTATCAGGATGTGCTCTCACCTGTCAACCCGAGACAGCAAGCACCCTGAGGGCAAGGCCTGTGTCTAGCACAGTATCTCCAGCCCAGTCGGCTGGGCCTGAAGAGTGGAACTGAAGCAACCCAACCAGCTCAGCGTAGAAACCCCCTGCTGGGCACAGGGGCCGCCTGGGGCCAGGATGCCAACAGCCCATGAGACCAGCTGATGCCACATCTGTGCTGTCCCTAAAGGTGAGGGACCTTGGACCAGGGCCATGGACTGTGGGGCCACACCACCACATTCCCCTTCTCCATCAGCCTTGCTCTCCCAACCCCGGCCTGAAACACATCTGGGTGTAGCAAGTGGGTGGCGGCCCACGCACACACCTGTCCACTCGGGCGGGCAACGGCAGTTGTAGGTGTTCACGCCGTCCACACAGGCGCCCCCGTTCTTACAGTTGTTACCCGGACAGTCGTCGATGTTTTCCTCACAGTTCTGGCCGGTGAAGCCTGGGGCAGGGGGAGACAAACCAGGTTGGCCTCTTCCCTCAGGGCTCCTGGCCCGCCCAGAGTGCTAAACTCTAACACTCCACTCCAGTTGGAAGAGCTCACCTTCCATGGCCCTGGCCCAGACACCTCCCTCCACCTGGGACCCTTGGGGTCTGAGTCTGTCCCAGCACCTCCTGTGACTAAGCCACGCTCTAGTGCCTCCAGGGGACATGCTCCCCTGCAAAAAATCATATTGTAAAGGCCTGGCTGAGCAGACAGAGACACAGGAACCTACAGGGTTCCAGAAGTTTCTGTCACAAAAACCCTCTGGTCCCATACTGAGGACTGCCTGTGAGCTGGGGTTTTTGACAACACCCCAGCCAGGGGAGGCCACGATACCCCATCTCACAGGGGCTTGGGAGGGCCTCCTAGCTGAGACCAGGGTGCCAGCTGGCCAGGGTGTTGGGGGGGCCTTCTCACAGCCCTGGGAAGGCTGCAGAGACATGGCCCTGGGACCCCAGAGGCAGAGCTTGGCGCCCACCTCCTGTCCACAGACGGAGGGGCCCGGCCCCGCCCCCTCCACAGCCAGCCCCCGAGGTGTGGCCTCCACACAGCCAGTTAGCTATTAATCCGCTCAACTCCCGCTGGTTCAATGATCAACCCAGAAAGGCGCGTCGGCAACAGCTCAACCTGCAGCCGGTTACTAATTAACGCCTCTCCTGGGACGGCCCTGAACCTCTGTGCCTTGACCGGCCCGTCCATAGGAGACTCCCACCCGAGCAGGAGCAGAGGCTGGGAAGAGCCACGTGCAAACCAAACAGTGTGGTTTGTGGGGTACCTGCTGAGTGAGTTCCTGTCCCCGCTGAGGGGCGCTGGGACCCTGCACCTCCAAGGGCCCCACTCTCATGAGGGCAGGGGTCCAAGGCTGGGTCTGCAACCCAAGGGCGGCTCTGTGCAGCCCTGAAGGCCACTGCTGAGGAGGAAGAGCAAGCAAGAGCCCCGTGAGGCCCTGGCTGCACCCTGTCTGTCAAACGGGCCAGTGAGGAGCCGGTGAGGACGAACTGGGCTGGGCGGGGCAAGCTGGGGCTGCTGCCTCTCCAAATCCTGGCCAGTTCATGAGAGCACCCAGGGGCCCACAGAGTTCAGGGCTCTGTCCCAACCTCGGCCTCCCGTGATTCAGGGGGGTTTATCTTGGGGTCCCTGACCACCCAGAGGGGGCTAAGGACCCTTGAGGGGGACTTGATCAGTGTAGGGGCTGCCTGGAGAGTTGGAACCCTGGTCTAGGAGAGCCTGGAGCCTGAGCTGTATTAGGAGGCTCCCTGGGGGGGGTCACCTCTCTCATCTGTCCCCTACCCTGAAACGGCCAGACCCCTTATAAGGCAGTGAGCACCCATCATCAGAGGGGGTGGGGGGGAGCGCCTGTTACCCTCCACACTTGCCTGTGACTTGCAGGAAATGCACATGCCTGGCGTCTACACGCAGGGGCGGATGGGCCGGGTTCAGTGACTGGGCAGGCAGTGAGCTTTCCCTTTGAGGGGACCCAGCCGCAGGGAGTGTGGCGGGGCGGCCCTTGGGTCAGCCATGCACCTCCCTCCGCCCCACCCCTCGTCTGAACACC